ACGTGAGCGTACGGCGTGATATTGCTCGTACTCCTCACTCAACCACGTGTCCACAATGGCCTCCCAGCAGTTGTCCATCCCCGCACACCAAGCAGGAGGCACCTGCACGTACACGAGCACATGACAAATCATAAATCAATTTCAGTGCAATTAATCACAGACGATGTAATCTCATGTTTACCGTCAAGTATTGCTCCTTAGTTAGGGGCAGGTGCACTGCCTGCGCTCTGGTGACTCTGTTTCCTCTGCGGGCATGGTAAATTCTTCTGCACAGGAGCTTTGTCTCGTAGAAGAGGTCCTGCACTCGGTGAACACAGACTCTGTTCACCACGTCATCCGCGTCCTCCCTACGTACTCCCTCCGCCAAGGTGTAGTAATCCTACAAGCAAATACAGTCAGTAATATACAATTAATGTGATGTTATTATCAGCATAGTGCGATGAACACGTACCCACAGCTCTTTCATCACCCGGTCGGCCTTGCTGTTATAACACCTGCCAGCTCGATCAGTCTGATCGCTGGCGGCGTGCCAGTGGGACCACTTCATGGCGGGCTGCACAACACCATCGATCCTCACCATCCCGGGGTAGTTTGCCCTGCACAGAAGACCCAGGATCCCGTTTACTCGGCGAGAGTGACTCCCTGGGATCACCATTTCCCAATCCCTGCACAAAGTTATTGAGATTGAATATTAGTTTCTGTTATAACTTAAAAACCTGTGAATTAGTGTTAACATGCAAAAATTACTTACTTAGTTCCGGATGGTCGAATCACTGGCCGTCTCTGTATGGGTAAGTCTGGGAGGCGCGACGACCCTCGCAGCCAAACCGTAGGCACCCCATTTTCCTCTGCCACCAAGTCGGCATCCTCCTCGCGCTCAACCCGCTCGGAAGCATCCTCCCTCCGTGCCTCCTCCACCGCCTCCGCTATCTCCTCCCTGGTCTCCAGATTCTAACTCAATGTACCTAGATGCCTTACACTTCGGACAGTACTTATCGTCAGCATGTTCTCCCCTGAATAAGATGCATCCGTTCGGACAAGCATGTATCTGCTCGTACGATATCTTGAGTGCACGAAGGATTTTATTTGACTCATACGTGTTCTTTGGCAGAACGTGATCATCCGGAAGTAGGGTGCCAACTACTGTCAACAGTTGATCGAAGGATTCTCTACTCCAGCTAAACTGGGACTTCACAGCCATTAGACGTGCAATGGCATCCAGTTTAGAAACATTGGTGCGCCCGTGAAGGGGTTGTTGTGCCGCATCCAACATGGCGTAAAACGCCTTTGCAGTTTGCTCTGGCTCCTGCTCTGCACTTCCTTCATCGAAAGCCATGTCATGGTCATTTAACATTTCTGCCACCCCGGCTTTAGAATCAAACTCCTCGATCCGTTGTCTCACGACCTCTTCTCTCGCACGATGGCGTTCACCATGCATGGTCCACCGGGTATAGTTCTCTACAAATCCATTGTTGACAAGATCTTTAGTCATCTCCTCATATGTTTTCATTGCCTTGTTCTTACACTTCCTACAGGGACACCAGGCATGTCGCCGTCCGTTTGCAAATGCCTTCGTCATGAAATCATTGGCCTTCTCAATCCATTCATTTGTGTATTGACCCCTCTTCTGATAGCCCGTGTACATCCACTGACGGTCATCCATCCTAACATATAGACGATATTGCAGTTTAGAGCAATAGAGTAGTAGTGCTAGAGAAAAACCATATGAGATGATAAAGAGACATTCATGTTCTTGGTCGATTCACATAGAAGATGTTTGCTAGATTGGATGATGAGATTTTACCTAAGGTTGAAAGGCCGCTAAATGGATGCCACGCACTCCTCCACCACACAAAGCACGCACCATATGCAAGTGCATGAAGGAGAACTATAGCTAGCTGTGAGCTCTATACTATAGTGCTGGAGCATGGTACCAGCACGCAGGCTTTCGGTCAAGGGCAATGGACGATGAACGGATGGATGGATCGGATAGAGCAACTGCATCATGGATGCAGCTAGCAACATGTTTTTTTTATTGTTCAAGTCAGCAGCAATATTAGGCCAAATTGCTTATCGAAGTTCACCCTCATGAAGACCTCATCAGATGATAAAAAATGGCACATATATATTGCTTAATTTTGAATTTAGATATCAAAGATATGGTGACGAGACGGTATCCTTAGGCAGATGGTAAAAAAAATGGCACATATATTGCTTAGGCAATGACCCACTCGCCTACTCTGCAGCTCTCGCCAGCTAGGACACGTGATAGCAAGGGCAGCAGCGGCAAATCGAATTGTGCATTGTCTGCAACAGGGTGCTGTACTGCACGGCCCATAGGTGATTGCAAAAACAAGCACATCATCCCACAGTTTGTCCCCATATCTCGATGGATCCTTATCCCCCATGCTTGTTATCGACACTGCTATACTCCTATAAAACTTCAGTGTTAGCACCTACATGCAACTGGACAAATCACAACACTACTCAATACAGGTAGTCTGTCCACTGCCCAGTGCATGGACAGCAGCTATGCGGAAGGAGCCCGGCCAGGTTTGCATTTTGAGGAGGTTAGTCACCATGAATGTGACACAACCTGTATATCTTTAGAATTGCTCAATTCCAAAATGTGCTAGGTGACATACTAGAGTCAGTCACAATGAAAGTGACACGACTATATATGTACTAGAAGAGTTGCTTTGGAAGTCACCTTACATTTGAAAAGTCGGTGTATATTTGAATATTCCATTTTGCTAATACACCATCAATTGTCTACCTTCAAATTTGCTTCATTCCTAAATGTGCTAATAAGTGACCTACTAGTGTTAGTCACTTTGAAAATGTGCTAATAAGTGACCTACTAGTGTCAGTCACAATTGGAGGCTGTACTATTGTGGTAACTCTTTGAAAACATTTATTTTGAAGCTACAGCCTACAATTAGATCTTGCTGCAATTGGCAAAGGCTGCATAATAGCACAAAAGAGCAAAACAAATTTGCCCTAAACATGCCCAGCTGCTAACAATATAGAGAACGCTCATCCTTACTCACGTCTAGTCATTTTCTCATCTTTCACAACTAAAGTCATCAACTCTAAACATGAAAGTCATCAACTCATTTTAATATTTGAGCTGAACAAACAATGATGCTACATGAAACTGAAATTGGCATTTACCGGTATGCATGAAAAACTGAAATTGCAATCTGAGAAGATAGATTAGCAACAAACCTCGGCAATGGATGAGGTTGCAGCCCTTCCTTTCCCGGTGGCGGCGGCTGTGGGGGACCGCCCGGTGGCAGCGGTGGTGGAGGGGAGGAGGGCGTCGTTGTCGGCCTGGAGCTTCTTGTTGTGGGAGAGGAGGGCGTCGTTGTCGGCCTTGACGGCGTCGATTTGGCGCTTCAGCCGCGTCGTAGTCCTTCTCGACAAATGCTTCGTCTTCCCACACTGCTGCCCGTTCTCTGCGGCGTGGCGTGGAGGGAGGCGGCCGGCCGGTGGGGGAGGCGCCAGCGACGGCGGGAGGCGCCAAGCGTCGGCGTGGAGCGCTGGGCGCGAGGCCGCGAGGCGCAAGTGCAAGAGGGACGGCGGGGAGGCGCCGCGGGGGACGGCGACAGTGCGCGCGAGGGATCTTGCGAGCGTCGCAGTGTGTGTGTGTGTCTGCACGATTTGAGAGAGAAACGGCTAAGTGAATGCCTCTGTTTACCGAGTGCCTAGATATACGGCACTCGGTAAACTCAAGCACCGCAGCCCAATTACATGTGGGCCAGTACACATGTTTACCGAGTGCCCAGATCTCTGCACTTTCTGTAAATGCACCGCAGCCCAATAACATGTGGGCACGGTACATGTTTTTACCGAGTGCCCAGATCTACGGCACTCGGTAAACATACAGTGGGGCATGTGGCTAACCTTTACCGAAAGTGTTTGAGGTCACACTCGGTAAAAGTATCCATTATTTCATGCAAAACAAAAATGAAAAATGCCAATTTAATCCTAAAATTCACCAAACTTTCACATGAACCATTTCATGTCATCTATTTACTATCTAAAAAATTCCAAGTTCAAATCATAATGTTGAATTTCACTCTTAAAAGAAATCCTACTCGTCATTGTGAATGTTTAGCGTCTCTTTGGGAGATGTACCGGTTCGGCAGCGACGAATGTAAAAATACTTCCGAAACGTTATGAAAATTTTTCTATAACATAGATGTATGCTTCAATGTTAATTCTTCCAATCTCGTGATTTATCGAGTTCGATTTTAATTATTACAATTAAATTTACACGATATGTACCTAATTATCATAAAGAATGAAAATTTTGTGAAATATAGTAAATAAATCGAAATAAACACCATATTTTGGAATGGAGTACTAAATATCATATGTGGATAGAGGAAAAAGAATGAAGGGAAAAACAAGAAATTTGGTTGGATTTTACCGAGTGTTGCGCCAATACACTCGGTAAAAGATAGTGTTTGCCGAGTGTTGTGCACTTACACTCGGTAAAACTTTATTATTACCGAGTGCAAATACTTCTACACTCGGTAAACATGTCATGCCGTGACACCGTTTGGCGCACGGTTGGTATACTAGGTGACGTGGCACCTCAATACCGAGTGTCTATTTTTACCGAGTATGCCCCTTCGGTAAAATGGTAGTTTTACCGAGTGTGTGAAGTTACCGAGTGTGCGGACTCGGTAAAGCGGTCTACTACCGGGTGTTTGTGTTTTCCGAGTGTTGGCACTCGGTAAGTAATGTTTTCCGAGTGCCCCGACTTTTGACACTCGGTAATTGTCGGGATACTCGGTAACTACACAGTCTCCGGTAGTGTGAACTGCAGTAGCAACGGCGGCGGCGACGGCCCCGCGGACGCGGACGCGGACGCAGTTGTACTGGGTGTTCTCCGTCGGAGGCCGTATCCATGTCCAGTGCGCGTCTCCCGGCCTCGCGAAGCACAGCTGGTAATCTGGCCAGTACACGAGCACGACGACGCAGTAGCCGTCCTATGGGTCCGACGAGATGATCGCCCGGACGTAGAGGTAGTCGATGAGCTCACGCGCGTCCAGCGTGGTGGCCGCGTTGGCGGGATCGTACACCCACAGCGACGAGTCGTACTGGTACACCGTGTACATGTCGGCGACGACGGCGCCGCCCTCGTCGTGCACGCGCCGCACCTGCTCCACGGTGGCCACCGAGGGGAGGGTGTCGATCCGCTGCCCGGTGACCGGGTTCACGAGGTGAGCCTCCGCGATACGAAACTATATTCAAGTACCATTTGCTCCTGTGTATATGTGTATATTCAAGTAATGCTCTTGGCCGGCTACACGCCTGCTTGCATGCTCCTGTTTGCATGGCACTGTTTGCTGGCGCAAGGTGAAGCTGCTGCTTGCTTGGTGCCGTCTCTGCTTGCCTAGGCGGCAGCAAGCTGGCTGGGGTGGCCCAGTGGCGGCGGTGGCGGTAGGGAGGTTGCGGCACGAGAAAGGGTTCGGCGCACCCCTTGCAGTCCCGCGACACGGGAAAAAATTGATGTGGGACTCAAATTTAATTTTTTGGAAGTTATTTATTGGAAACTGTTGGAGATGCCTTTCTTTTTTCCTCCCAATACATTTTTAGATGTTTGGAAACTACATGTTTTTAGAGGAAAAAATAAGAAACTCTTGGAGATGCTCTTAGTTACCTCGTCCAGCGGTGACTCCGCATCATTCTTCAACTCCTCAATCATGGTTTCCATTTCATTGAGCCTAAGAATAATTGCCGCGATACTGGGCCTTTCCATGCTATCTGTCTCCAGGCAGTTCAGTGCTATTTCAGTGCATGTCTTTACTTGTTGGCAGTAGGCTTCTAGCAAGGAGCCGCTCCATGTAGACTGCAACCTGTTCCGCCAGTTGCCTTGTACCTGTGGAATTGGTATGCAAAAAAAATGGCCATTAATAATTTTAGCATTGCTCACACAAAATGAAACCACAATTCTTGTTCCTCACTTGATCAATTAATTCCTGGGGAGGAATTTCAGCACTTTTTGTGTGGCCTCTAGGCCCAGCAATTATCTTTATCATTACTACTCCCAGGCTGAATATGTCATTCTTCGCTGAGATTCTACCATAGTGAATGTATTTCGGTGGCAGATATCCACTGCGTGGACACAAACAATTAATGAGCTTATCTCAAAGCACATTTTACTAGTAATCGGTAAAATAAGGCTTACTTAAATTCTGATGGCTCAGCTTACATTGTTCCTACACGAGATAATGATAATGACATTCTTGAGGTCTCACGGCGACCGAAAGGGGACAAGCCAAAATCTGCAAGTTTGGGCACCATGTTTCTATCAAGCAATATATTGTCTGGTTTCAAGTCCATATGGTATATATATATAGGTATGGTGTATCCCTCGTGAAGGTATTGTAAGCCCTCACTTGTCCCCTTAATTATTTTGTACCGTGTGTGCCAGTCAAGTCCATCACATTCATTTGAAAAATGGTAAGCAGATAGATGAGTACGGGCCGGGTTAATTAGTAATAATGGAAATAAATTAAGATGGCTCGCTCATGAATCACGCATGCACGATCCTTGCAGGGTACCTGGGGACTAGTCCCACGAGCCCTGCTCTTCATGGTTGATCTTGGAAGTCTGTTAGAGACATGCATGAACCAACTCTGATCTTTGAGTTTGTAGCACTAACCAGAAAGATGCTTTTGAAGGCTCCCATTGTGCGTATACTCTAAGCAGAGCGCTCTGTGCCTCACTTCCGCCAAAGCAAGTTCCCCACCGAAATTTATTGGTTTGTGTTCTGTTTCATCTCAGTAGGCAAGTACCCGCACAATGTTTGGATGATCCAGCATCATATGGTCTCGTAACTCGTTGAACTCCTCATCTTGAAGATCGTTAGAGGTAACCATCTTCACAGCAACCTCATCTCCATTTTTGTGTATTCCCTGCTCAGGATCTATATTATGATCAGTACTTAACGCGCGCAGCTTGATTGTGTCTCGTCGTTCTCCTCACGCGGCAATTCTTTGCTTGTTTTGTTGAAACATTTTTATTTTACTAGCGCAAGTGTGCAACTGAAAAAACTGCGACACAAATAATGAGACATACTCTGTAAGTTGTATATGAAATAATAAAAAGGTTCCACAAACTAAACCATTAGTTATTTGTTTTAACAGTTGAAACGGCAGACCCTGAGCCGGCTCCATACAGTAGCTTGCTGTCCTAGGTAGCTCTGTTTCTGCTCGGTACAAAGGCCTTTCTGCATCATAAGTAGGGATGAAAACGGATCGGATACGGATGGATATCACCGATATTACATTTGTTTTCATATTTCTGTCCGGATTCGGATTCGAATACGGATAGTGTCAACTATGTCGGATAGGATACGATTGGATATCGACATCATAAATATGCGATTTGAGTATTCAGATACGGACACGGTATCGGATGTTGGATATCTGGACTCGGACACGGATAGATCTCAACCCCTCTAAACGGATTCGGTTTCGAATACGGTCGGAAAATATCCATACCGTTTTCATCCCTAATCATAAGTAAGGAAAGTAAATAAGCAAGTGCTAATTCCTTGCTAGACCGTACAACTATGACCATTCTAATAAGAGAATTTTTACAATGGTTGTCGGAAAATGGATGGCTCACGAGGGCCGATCCGACGGCTAAAAAGGCAGAGGAACCAATTAGATAGGCACCGAGTGCATACTAAATGGTGGGACCATACGCACCAAGTGCATACTAAAAATTGGTGGGATGAGCTCTTAAAAAAAGATGGGATAATTCTATTTTCGAAATTATTTTATGTAATTAAGGGTAGAATAGTAAATTTAGCCCAGACACGAACTTTGGTGCGCAGGCTCCGCTGCCACTCTCCCCGACCACCTCGACGTCGAACACCCTCACCACCGCCACGGAGACCGCCTTCATCTCGGTGATGGCGAGCTCCTTGCCGAGGCATACGCGGAGGCCCGCCTGGAACACCGGGTACTTGTACAGGCACTCCGGCACGAAGGACCCACCGGCGCCGGTGAGCCACCGGTCCGGGCGGAACTCGCCGTGGTCGGCTGCCCAGATGCGTGGCATGCGGCCCATGGCGTAGGGGTGGTACATGACACGCGCGCCGCTGGACATGTAGGTGCCGTCAGGGAGCACGTCGGCGGTGGCGCAGAACTTGGAGTCGAACTGCACGGGCGGGAACATGCGCATGTTCTCGTAGAGCACCGCGTGGGTGTAGTGCATTCCCTTGAGGTGCTCGTAGGTGACCGGCGTTGAGTCGTCGCCGGCCTCCGCGCGCATGGCCGCCGCCACTTCGGGGTTCTTGGACAGGAGCATGAAGAGCGCGGTGAGCGCGGAGGACACCGTGTCGCTCCCGGCAAGGAGAAAGCTGACCACGATGTCGCGGAGGTACTTGTCGTCGACGGTGTGCACGTCGCCGGCGGAGGCCATGAACCGGGACAGGAGGTCATGGCTGTTGGTGAAGCCAAGCTTCCGGTGCTTCCGGATCATCGCCGCCGCCAGCTCGTCCACTAGCTTAATGGCCTTCTTGAGCTCCCTCTCGGACCCGATATTGAGCAGGCGCTTCATCCTTCACAGCAGCGGCAACGCTGCCGCGCCGCGCATGGCGCAAAGCCGCGTCGCCATGTCGAACGCGCCAGCGAGCTTGGACATGGGCATTTCGCGCTCGAGGCATGCCGAGTCGAGGCCGAAGGAGATCTTGCAGATGGTGTCGAAGACGAAGCGCTGGAACACGTCCTGGCGGTTGACGACTGCGCCCCTGTCGGCGGCGTCAGCGAGGACCGGCATGAGGCAGGCCTCCACCTCCTGGGCGATGATCTTGTAGGCGTAGGAGCGGACGGCGACGCTGCCGAGCTCGAGGCTGGCCATCTTGCGCTGGTGGTGCCAGGCGTCGCCGTCGACATTGAAGATGCCGCCGCCGAGGAGGTCGCCGAGGAGGGCGGCGAAGGTCTTGCCCTTGGGGAAGTTATCGAAGTTGGTCTTGAGCATGTACTCGACGTTGGCCGGGTTGGCGCCGTGACAGCTTCCTAACCACATTATAACATTTCAACACTTCATGATCGCAGACTAACCTCAAATGCTTGCTTCATGAAGTCCATTCCATGTCTACTTCGCTTGGAATACTGCATAAATTTCACAAGAAACGGTTTGTGCAGCAGTGCAAGTGAGTAGTGGCAGTCAAGCTCTTTTATGCACGTGACACGTACTCGACTCTGCAGTCTGCATTATTGCAGTTCGTTCTTCTCATTCTGTATAGACACGCGCATAGGAAGGCTCGCTCGGCGCCATGGTGTTCGCGTTTATCGCCGGTAATGGCGTGGCGGCGGAGTTGCTGACGGCGCGCGCGGTTCGCCCGGCAGGTCCTGTCGGGGCGTTGGTTCACGCTGTTTGCGTGCCTGCTGATCCTGTCGGCGTCGGGTGCGACGTACGCCTTCGGCATCTGCTCCCGTACGCTCCGGACGTCGCTGTGCTACGACCACCGCGCCGTCGCCACGCTCGCCTTCTTCAAGGACCTCGGCAGCAACGTCGGCGTCCCCGCGGGGCTCCTCAACGAGGTGGCCCAGCCGTGGGCCGTGCTCGCCGTCGGCGCCGCCATGAACCTTGCGGGCTACCTCATGGTCTACCTCTCCCTCGCCGGCCACGTCGCGCGGCCCCCCGTCTGGCTCATGTGCGCCTACGTCTGCGCAGGAGCCAACTCGCAGGCGTTCGCCGGCACAGGGGCGCTCGTCACCAGCGTCCGCAACTTCTCAGAGATCCGCGGTGCCGTGCTGGGGCTCCTCAAGGGCTACGTGGGCTTCAGCAGCGCCATCCTTGCGCAGCTCCACCTCGCCCTCTACGGCGGCGGCGATGCTAGGTCGCTCGTCCGCTCATCGCCTGGCTCCCCGCCGCAGTCTCCGTTGTGTTCCTCGCCACCGTCCGCGTCATCCCGAGGCACAGCACGCGCGGCGGCGACGTGTTCCTCTGCTTGCTCTACATCTCCGTCGTGCTCGCGGCGTACATCGTCGTGCATAGGCAGGTCAGCTTCTCCCGCGCCGCCTACGCCGCGTCCGCCACCGGGCTCCTCGTCCTCCTCTTCCTCCCCCTCGCCGTCGTCGTTAAGCAGGAGTACCGGATCAAGAAGGAACACGAGGAGCCAGCACCGCTATGCCGCCACCGCCGTCGCGGCCACCGTCTTCGTCTTCCCACCTCGGCGCCATCCTGAGGCACGTGTTCAGCCCACCGGTGCACGGCGAGGACTACTCGATCCCGCAGGCGCTGGTGAGCATGAACATGCTGATCCTATTCGTGGCCATCGCCTGCGGCGCCGGTGGCACGCTGACGGCGATCGACAACATGGGGCAGATCGGGCAGTCGCTGGGGTACCCTCCCGAGACCGTGGATGCCTTCGTCTCCCTCACCAGTGTCTGAAACACTGCTACAAAAATGTTTGTAGCAACGGGACAATTTTTTTTAGGGGCAGCCGGTGATGGAGCCGCTCCTACAGTGGGCGTGCTCGGGATCCACGAGATCATCCGTCCCTACAAATGGCACAGTAGGGGCGGCTGGTGATACGAGCAGCCCCTACAAATGGGTCGATTTATAGAGGCGGCTCACTCACCAGCCGCCTCCGGTGTTGCGATTTGTAGGGGCGGCTCAATCACCAGCCGCCCCTACAAATGCACGTCCAAAAGGCTGCAGCCCCCTTCTTCCTCCTCGGGTCACTCACTCTTACCCGAGAGAAAAGGCTTGGTAGGCCTTGGGCACCTCTCAAAAATTGCTCTACTAAGGGGAGGATTTTGGTCTCAAATCCTTTGGTGGAGAGATTGTAGAAGGTAAGAAAATATTATTCCACACTTTTTTTGGAGTTTTAATGGTTGGTTAGTGAGTAATTAGAGTTTTGCTTTTCTCTCTTTTATGGTGCTTGAGCTACTTATGAAGCAAATTAGACCTAAATTTTGAATGTATTAGGGTAAATTAGGTAGCGGAACAAGATCATACCCTTATTTTGTCCATGTTTCTTGATTTTAGTGAACAATTAGTTAGTTTTATGGATGCTTCATGTGCATGTAGATTTAGATCTAGATCTAGGGTTTGATTTTTTTATTAATTTTGTTTTTGTAAATTTATGTTTGATGAAATTGGACTAGGGTTTGCATGAAAGATATTGGGTAAAATATAATTATTGTTAATTGTTGTCTTTGAAATTGTTTATTGTAATCAACAAATATGTATTTTAATTATTTATGGATAAATATGCCATTAATTAATTTTCCTCTACCATGGTGTGTTTGTATGCTTCATGTAATTATATTTGATTTATATTCATATATATCTGAAATGTATACAATTATTCTCAAGTAATTATTAATTTGATTCATTTTTATATATATCTGAATAAGTAGTCCTTTAATGTTTGTTTTATTGTTGTTGTAAAAGATGGAGTATAGGAACTCTTGGATGTATGGTTTGTTAAGGTTCAAGGCAAGTTTCCATGAAGAGATGGATAAATTTATTGAAGCCGTAGAGAAGCATGCAATGACACTGACAGAGAATAAGGATACAATTATTTGTCCCAGTAAAGATTGTAAGAACCGTATGACATGGACAGATGTGACTATCATCAGATCACATTTCATTATGTGAGGATTTGTTGAGGACTACACAGTGTGGATTCATCATGGTAAAACGGTTATTGTTAACGACAAGAATGAGGAGGAATACGATGACGAAACCCTAGAATTCATGTCCCAATATTCAGCAGAGCTTGATGCACGAATGGATCCCGAGTTTGGCAATGAACAAGGTGATGATGCTAGTGGTTGAGATGATAACGACGAAGGTGGTGCTAATAATGATGGCGGAGCACGTGTTAGGAATGAAAATGATTTGGAGGACATGATTCGAGCCCTTGGACCAGAGATTTTACGAAAGAGCCCAAAAGGTCTAGAAAATTTAGAAATGGTGAAAAAAGCATCGAAGGAGGCTGTATAGTGTTGAAAGGGGTTGTCCGACACACTAGACATTGCTACATTTTGTGCTTGAGCTACTCATCCTGAAGGCTAAGTACGGCTGGTCAGACTATAGTTTCAATGATCTATTACGTTTCCTATCATGGGTGCTGCCACAACCAAACTCAGTTCCCACCAACACATACCAAGCAAAGAAGATCATAAGTCCATTGACAATGGGGGTTGAAAAAATCCATGCATACCCCAACCACTGGATGGTACTACATGGGTGTTCCTGGATGCATCCAAGAAGATAGTTTACCTAAGGAACCAACGCTTCTTAAAGACAAGTCACAAGTACCGCAGCAAATTGTTCTTTAGATTTTATGACAACACCTCAGAGATTGAACCCCCTCTAGAGAGACATCATAACTGAGAACACGTGTACAGAATGGTAAAAAACATACGCGTCGTCTATGGAAAGAAGAATCCGGATGGGACGAACAGAGATAGAAGCATACCTCCTGTCGAAGGCGTACCTTTCAAGAAACAATCGATCTTCTTTCAGTATCTGCCTTATTAGAAAGACTTGGAGGTCCCCCATGCCATTGATGCTATGCACGTGCAGAAGAATTCTCTAACTGGAAAGAGATACCAGAGAAGAAAAATTGAACCCAGCAATCCCTAACTGGAAAGAGGTACCAGAGAAGAGAAAGGATAAACTATGGGATAAGCAGCTGAAGCTCAATTTTAGTTTTCTAGAGGGTAAGCAAGAACTGGTAAAAAATGCTTTCAAGATTATGGAAGAGTCATTCCGAAGTTGGAGGTCGGAGCTCGACAAGATGTATATCCAAAAGGGGTTAACTCCCTTCAACGAGTTCGACAATATAACTCCTAGTCAATGGGAGGAGCTCATGGCTCAGAAGACTTTACCGGAGCCATTAGAGCTCAGTGCCCGTAACACTGAGTTGGCTAAGTGGAACAAACACCACCATCATCTAGGCCCCGGTGGCTACTATGCCAAGGAAGAGCAGTTAAGGAAGATGGACGAAGAGGCCGCAGCTTCTAGGAATATCGATGTGAAGAATTTGAAGGTACGCTCAAGGAATTGGATATATCCGAGTATAGAATTATCCGACGGTAATCTTAAATTTGATAAGCCGGAGACCCAAGAGGCAGTATCAAGGATACTGAAATATACTGAAGACAAGAAGAAGGGCTCATTCAATCCTTCTAGAGAGAGGGGCGAGCTTAGCATTGGCTTGGGAAACAACGAGCACACAGGCCGCACCAGAGGGCTAGGGAAAAGGACGACCTGAAAGCATGGATTCAAAGAGGACAGGCACATATACAAAAAACATGGCAGAGACCAGGAGGTTAATCTTGAGCTCAAAGTGAAGGCTCTAGTTGCGATGGCGCTGCAGGAGCAAGGACTGTCTATGGAGCCACGGACATTAATGGCGCCGCCGGGAGAACTGACATTAGTTGGCAGCCCTCCAGATGTTCCTAGCAGCCAAGGTTCCACTGCAGCCACAACCTCCGTCGATCGCATATGGGAACCAACTAGTTGCACCTTGGTGTTTCTTAGTGGCCGGCAGAACATTGTGATGGAGGTGGCAACGGGTGTGGCACATCCTCCCGGTGGCTTACACCACAATAATAAGATACCGTCAGACTACACTAGGGTCGAGGTGCATACCGTGAAGCCCGAGTTCATGTAGTGGAAGATAGACTACGCAACTCCCGAGGGGCTGGTGTTACTCGGAGATGTAATGGAGCAGTTCATCCTCTGACACAAATGGGATATTATATTGATTGCTTCTTCGCCGCCTCCCCCTCTCTCAAATTTGGAGCGAGTTGTTGAGGACAGGGAGATATTTTCACCGTCTCGTGACCATCACATTCCTGAGATGCACATTCTTCCCCACCTCCTTGCGAGCATGTGCTTGATAAGCCACAACCTTCTCCAGCTCGTACCGAGCAAGTGCATGATGAGATACCACAGTCTTCTCAACAAGCATAGCCGATACATGAACAACGAGTGCCTCCTGAAGAAGGTGATGAACAAGAAGATGAGGACATGCCTGAATGGGAACTTCAAAAGAAGCATCCAATCACCATAAGGCCAATTTATATTCCGATGAAAGACGTCTCATCGGTGCATAAGTGGTATGCCCATGAATAGTTCAAGCCTGATAACCAAGTTAAAAAATCCTAACACGGGCTTCTGAGGAGACCATCACTAGCAAAGTCCACCAAATAGCAAAGAAGTACCCAAATGTTGATGTCATCAAATAGTCAAAGGATTGCCCGAAAACATATGAAAGAGGCAAGCCCTTCCTACCAAACCGGGACATCTAGCGCCTACCACTTGGAATGAGAAGGTTCCATGATTGGTACTTGCGCGTTCTCCTAACGAGCATAGACCTCGTATAAGCATGCTTCTCCACCGGCACATTTGGAAGCCTAGCCAGAAAAATTATCTTTGACTTCAATGACATGCAGACATGCTTTCACCTCGGAGCAATGGAAATGAATCTAATTTGCACGCGGTGCCTGTAAGTCCTTGCCCTCCCGATATGATATGAATGTAATATTTGGATTTTGTTGTAACTAACCCACGCCGTGATTTGTAGAATGCAAGTGCACATTGTAAAACAAATGCCAAGTGTGAAAGCCGGGTATATAGACCCTCAAGCTATAGCACAAATAAATTTTAATTACCCTAGACAGTGGAAATTGGATGCCAAAGAGCTAGCTGCTGGAAAGATCCTTCGGGAGAAAGAGGATATCCGTGCGAAGAAACTAAAGCAAGAGTCCCTTAAGGTTTCGGCATATATTGCTCTAGCTTTTAAAAATCTCTAACAACACTCTACTATATGGCTAGCATACAACTTCGAGTAAGTTAAACTCTATACTTAAAGCTTTGTTCGATATATTTTATTCGATGCAAAAGAGCTTATCTAGATCTATGATTAAATTCATGCAGCAACCACTGGATTTGTATAGGCATCGATGTCGGGAGGAGCATGGCATGGGTCTTTGATTCAATAGATAGGGACCCGGTGACATACAAAGACTTCATATCGATTCTTAAGACGTATACATATCGACAATCCTCATTAGCTTATATGTTTGTATATATACTTGTAACGTTCACTTTTAGATATTAACAAGTTGCATTTGCTAAAATAATTCGAACAGGGCATTTAGGTTTTATGTCAATAAACATCACGGAAGGCATGATCCAGTAAGGAAGGAAAGGAGCATGTGCGGGAAGTGTAACTTACTTTAGTACTCCATTATATGGCTGTCAAAAGCATTACTTAATATTTTCATATGCAAAACACACATTACCCCAAGCAGAAGTCTGCGAGTATACATTGTGGATACTATGTATGTTCTATGATAAGTAACACCGGTGCCTACAGGAGACACCCCTTAAGGGTAAGTTTGAACCTCTTAACCTGTAGTATAAAA